CCTGCAGCCCACGCCCCACCTGCATCACGGACAGCTGCTGTGCACACCCCGCCAGCCGGCCGCAGCCGGCAGAGCTCACCAACTCCAAGCTTGTAGCTGTGCACGGGCTGAGTGCCCGGCCGGCAGCGGCACACGGCGTCCTGCGTGGCTGTGCACCTCTGCTTCTGCTCACTGCCACTTCCTGAGCAGGGGCCGGATGGGGGGTCGTCAGGTGGGGGCTGTGGACACGGTCCCCAGGAAGCGTGGGCACAGGAGGACAGCGTGGCCTTCCCACTGCACCAAGGCCACGGCCAGGGGTCTGTGACCTCCCCAGAGGTGAGGCATTTGGCCCCTGCAGCCCCCAAGGCTCCTGGACTGTCCCTTCCTGGCCACAGGCTGGCTCGGTTCTGCGCACCAGTCCCCTTCCCTACCCATCCCCCAGCTCCAGCTGCAATGCTTGGGACAGCAGGGTCGGGCCACGTGGCCAACATGGGCTTCCCAACTCCACGTGGCTTGGCCAAGTCTTGGGCCCCAGGAGGAGGGGTGTGCCCCAGGGAGATGCCTCAGCTCCTGGAAGGACCCCAGGGAGCGGCACAGACCCCGCTGTGGTTTGAAGTTTGTTTCTGAGGCTGTGGAGCTACCGCTGCTGTGCGGGAATGTGGCTGCCAGGCTGCCACCCCTGTGCTGGGTGGGGCTGTGGGCAGGTGGGAGCCCCGTCCGGGGGGGCTGTGGCGGGTGGGAGCCCCGTCCGGGGGGGCTGTGGGCAGGTGGGAGCCCCGTCCGGGGGGGCTGTGGGCAGGTGGGAGCCCCGTCCGGGGGGGCTGTGGGCAGGTGGGAGCCCCGTCCGGGGGGGCTGTGGGCAGGTGGGAGCCCCGTCCGGGGGGGCTGTGGCGGGCGGGAGCTCACTGAGGTTGCAGCGCGTGCAGGTCTTGCACGGCTTGGCGCTGACGGCGTCGTTGTAGTATCCGGGCTCACACGGGCGGCACACGGAGTTCTGGGTGTGGCTGCAGCGGCTCACCATCCCGTAGCCTGCAGCAGAGGCCGCCGCATTAGGCAGCTGTGAGGCCCCCTCAGCCCCAGGCCTGCGCCCAGGGACTCACCAGGCGTGTCCTCTGCCGGGTTTGGCCGGCCCCTTGCCCGCCCCCTCCCCAGGACTAGCCTCCCGGCTGGCCCATCCCAGACGGGGCCCAGAGCCGACCCCACGCCGTGTGGCACCCTCCCAAGGCCAGGCCTCACCTGGCCTGCACTCGTCACAGCACCGGTCGCCGCTGGGGTAGGTGTCCCCGACGCAGTGGAGCCCCGCGGCACTCAGCGCCAGGCCCAGGAGGAGCAGAGCCGCCTCCCAGGGCCCCGGTCGTCGCCCCACGCACATCCTGGCTCCGCTCTTGCCAAAGTCTGGGTTTTTCCTTGCGGGTTTGTGGCTATAAGGACTGTGGAGGAGGGGAGGGGAGGGGAAGAGGGCAGAGGAAGGGGAGGAGGAAGGCGGCAGGCCCGCCGGGGACCCCGTTGGCTTCTTCTGCCTTCTGCCCTCTTCTGCCCAAGACCACCACGTTCAGACCCCAGGGCACAGTCGGGCCTGGCCTGTGGCCTAACCCTCAGCAAAAAGGTCGATGGAGCACACGGGTCAACGGGCAGCACTGAGCCAGGAGAGAGGCCCCTCAGTCTGGACCTTTGGGGCTGTAGCAGTGTCTGGGCACTACAGCATGTGACCCATTGAGTGCCCAAGACTAGCTCTGAGCAGCAGTGGCCATGGCCATGATGACACAGACACCCTGGCCTGGGATGACCCGCCTGTAATCCCAGCACTTTGGGAGGCTGAGGCCAGCGGATCACCTGAGGTCAGGAGCTCGAGACCATCCTGGCCAACATGGTGAAACCCCGTCTCTACTAAAACTACAAAAATTACCAGGCGTGATGGCGGCCGCCTGTAATCCCAATGACGTGGAGGCTGAGGCAAGATAACTACTTGAACCAGGGAGGCGGAGGTTGCAAAGCCAAGATTTGTCTAGGTGACAGAGCAAGACTCCGTCTCAAAAAAGAAGAGAAGACACCCACCACCAGGGCCCACATTGCAGTGAGCACAGCAGGTGCTTACGGCCAAACTGCCCGGACCTCCCTGCGTGGAAGCCCTGACCCCACGTGCCTGTGTGGACGGTGGGTCCCGGGTGGCCTGGCAGATTCGCAGGCAGGTTTCTAGGCAAACAGCTCCCCGGTTCTTGCCCAGAGGAAGGGAACGGCCTGGAGAGCCGGGAAGCAGGTGCAGGGCTGGGGGCTCTCTGGGCCCTTCTGCACCTTTCAAATAACTGTGATGAGCCGGCAATCATCCAAAGTTCATTTTTAAAGTTGCAAGTGGAGAGAGGCCTCTGGGGGACGGAGCAGAGGGAAGGGGCTGGAAATCCCCACCTCTCCTAGGAGCACAGGAAGCAGCTGCCTGCCTGCGGCCCGCCTGCGGGGAAACTCCCAGCCATGGAGCCTGCAGGGCCTGGAGGGGGAGGAAGTGGAGGGAGAGGCCACCTGCCCTCACACTGAGGGTCCCTCACTCGGTCTCCCTCCCCACGTCTCCTCAAACAGGACCCTGGAAGGGCTCAGAGTACCCCAGGCCGTGCGTGTGTGTGAGCATGCCCACACCTCAAGCGGGCAGAGGAGGAAAGTTCTGGCATTTTCTGGACAGTTCTACCCAGCGTTCACATGGGTTTCCCACTGACAGTGAGAAAAAGCTTACATTTCCAACTGGGTTCTTGGAGGCCGAGGTGAGCTGGGTGTCTTCGTGGCAACACCTCTCCCCTGGGTCCTGAGTGGCCACATCTGCCCACAGGTGTGTTGGGCAAGGCCTGTCCACCACAGAGAGTACCCACCCAGCGGGGGCTCTGCCCCTCCTGCTGGAAGCTGCCCAGGGAGGTCAGGTCTCCTTGTCCCAGGCTGAAGGTCACAGGTCCAAGGCGCTGGCAGGAGAGAGCCCCGCCACTTCCACGGAACCCGGTGTGCAGTGGCCCCAGGAGGCTGGACACCAACCCAGAGCTCAGGACCCCTGAGCTCTGCATGGCAGCCTGCAGCTTGGACCTCCCCCCAGGAGCTGGGCTCCCCACTCTGCACATGGTGTCACCGCAGCCCAGGCCGAGAGAGACCCCTGCTCCTCGGGCACCAGCCTGGAGCTGGCTGGGGCCTCTGCAGGGCCAGGTGCCGCCACACACTGAGCCGTGTCCCTGCCCTCATGCCCAGCCAGGGTGGCCTCAGCGAATACCTCCCACCTCTGGGTGCGTGGCCCTCAGCACAGGACGTCGAAAGCTGCCATGATGGCCCCTGACTCGGGCCTGGGGTCACGGCTGGGGAAGGGCAGAGTCCAGGCCGCCTCCGAGCAGGACCGGGGACCTTCCTCCCGCCACCTGCCTGGGACCCAACCCAGGTGCCAGCCTGCCTTCTCGGCCCCGCAGGGGCCCCTGGGCAGGGGGGCTCAGGGCAGAGGCCAGTCACAGGGGCACCAAAGGGCAGACTGAGGAGGGGGCGCTCCCGGCGTCCCCGAGCTCCTGCCTGGAGAGCCAGGACAGAGCCTGGGCCCCCAACGCAACAGACGGGATCCCCACCAGCTGTCCAACATGCCCCATGCCCTGCCCCCCTGGGGCTGGGTCTGCCCCTCCACACACCCCAGCAGTGGCCTTGCCATTCTGGAAGTTTCCTTCTCCACCCCAAACTACCCCAAGCGACTCAAAGGGACTCTGGCTCCTGTTTTAAATGTTCAAACTCAATGAGCATGTCTGCTGCCCTGGGACCCCCGCTCACTTACACACACACACACACACACAGACACACAGCACCGCCCACCTGCCCCCTGGACCCCCCCCCGCTCACGCACACACACATGCAGACAG